ATAATAATAATAATAATAATAATAATAATAATAACTATAATGCCTTTATTTAATGAGGGTAACACTAAATAGCCTAAGGCTAATAAACTTGTGGCCCTCAAAACACAATCTTACAGCATAAGTATAAGTTCAAAGGTCACATATAAAAGCTGTATAGTCAGCTAGAAGGTCTTTTTTTTATGTTTTACTTTGCAGGCTGTTAAACGTTCTCATAGGAGATTGGGCTTGGCACAAAAGCTCATGGAACAGGTTTTATCATCATGTTGTTTTTACTGCTGTAAAATATCTTCTTGCATTATTTTAAAACATTACAGCAAGCTCTATGTCTGAAAAATTTTTGTCCACAGGTGTGAATGACTGTCGTTCAAGTTTTTTTAATTTGGCATACATTTTTTGTAGAAACATCTGCCCTCTTCTGTGTCTGTACATAAATTTCCATTTATTGTATTGTTAACAGTCACTTACCACTGAACAAGTCCTCAGGAAGCTGAAGAGTTTCATTAGAATAGTTTTGCTGAGATACAAAGTTTACTTACATGGTTTTTGTTTCAAATTGCAGGCTTCTCGAGCTATGGTTGAATGTTTCAATGCTCAGTATGTTTCTCTTCATGTAAGAAAAAGGTATTGAAATGAGAAAAAAACAACTTTCAAATAAGTTATCCAGATATTTTTTCTGTTGTCATGTGTTGGTTAGCAGAAAGTCAAAGATATTTCTCTATAATGTTGCTTATCGCCATATTAACATCTTTCAACAGCAATAGAGCCGCTCTTCATCTTTACAACAAGACCCTTGGCTTCAGGTAAGAGATGCTTAATTTTTAATAAAACTAAAAAGACCATTCTTTATCTTATTAGTTAATCCCTTGTCTTACCAAATCTCAAGGGAAAACTACAGGTTTCACTTTGTAAATGCATACGTCCTAAGATATTGATACCTCCATCGGGTCAGAGATTTTCTCTTAGCTCCCCACCCCTCCCCAGGAATTTCCAATCCCTCAAGTGGAGGAGGGGGAAGTATAGAGATTTCCAGAACTACCACCACGGGCAAATGCATGTAGTTCCAATCAAGATATTAACAAAAAGTATCCTTTCTTTGTACCTGCAGCATTTCTGAGATTGAACCAAAGTACTATGCTGATGGTGAAGATGCATATGCTATGAAGAGAGATCTGACTGGTTTAAAACTGGAGGTAGGTTTTCTCATTAATGCCATCACCCGTGTACAGCTTTCTTAGTTTCGGTCCTATTGGCCATCACAACGGAATATTGTTTTGGTTCCAAAAACCATCTATACTGCATTATCAAATGTCCACATAAATATTGAAAACTCTTTCTTATTAATTTGTTCTCTTTCTCTTGCTTTAGGAAAAGACTGCTGTTGACAAAGATGTAGCAGCGCTAACCCTAAGAGACCAAGATAAACCATCAGAAAAGAAAGAGGATGGTCATGGTCATAGTCCTTCATCTCACAAATGTTGTCCAGGCCCCACCCATGGACATTCTCACCCTCACCCTCGTCATGTGAAGGACGAGGCACCAAGCAGATGCCCTCGAACTACACTTGAAGGAAAGAAGGACACTGGGCATGAAGGCTCTTAGCAGAGACATTCTGTTTTGTTTTCTTAGTATTTGAACCATTTCACTCTGAAGTAATAGTAAAAAACTAAATAAATTGAGGACAATGCCAACTCTTAGTTTGCTGAGTGTTGAAAAAACTATTTAATAGTACCATGTGAAAGTACTACTGAAGAGGTTTCAATTGAATGGTAACACCATGGGATGTACGTCCACAGACTCAAACGTTAGAACTATACATACTAAATAAATAGTTTACCATGGGAAAGTACTGCTGACGATTTTTCATTTGAATGGTAACACCATAGGATTTGATGCACAAACTCAAAAGTTAGAATAATATTGCATGTACTCTAAACTGTATATAAGAAGATATGTGTAGCAGCTTATATGGCCAAAACAAAAGCTTTTCTTTAGGGACAAAGTAGGGCATTCCAAGTGGGTATTAGATAGACAGGATTTGCTTCATCCTTCCCACTTTTGGAGCCAACCATGATATTGGTTATTTCTCTGTTCTGCAGAGAAAAGGTAGAAAAGACACCAACAATGAAGTTCACTGCACAAAGATTGCAGATGCATGTGTTTAAATGCCGGTTATAAAAATGGGCAAGCATGAGGAAGTCGCGCTGCAAGTTGTGACTTGATTTCCACCTTCCCTTGCACTCTTAGTGCACTCTTGTGATATGCATAAAAAAAGTAAGATCTGTTAATAAAATAAGATATACCTATCCAGACTTGTACCCAGTCGCTACTTAAGTGTTTTTTGGAATGAGAGAAGATTGGGGGTTAGGTTGAGGCACATGCGGGGTCTCATAGAAAGGGAAGAAGGAAAAATAGCTATTTTTCCTTTTTTCCTTCCCATGAGACCCCGCGCGCGCCTCAACCTAACCCCCAATCTTCTCTCACCCCGCAAAACACATAATTAGCGACTGGGTATGAGTCTGATACCTATCAAGATTTTGCATTGTTCATTACAAAATTAGTCAAGAATAGGCTAAAACTGCTTTTCTTTAGGTAGACATTTCTTTATTTACAAAAGAGCCAAACATAAAGTTTTACTTTAAATTTCACACAGCAACAGCACTAAATTAATTATCTGGAATGATTTTATGTTGTGACAAGTTTGAAAAAATATTTCTCTCTTTTCAACACAAAGAGGTTTTACATCAAAGGCTTCCAGTTAATCACCACATCACCGGCTTCTTCCTCTTCAACCACCTCGCCCCTTGCAGCAGCTGCTTCATATGCAGCATCTCGTTCAGCAACAATCCTTAATGCTTGCTTCCTTGCCCAAGTCTGAGGTCTATAACAAGTAAAAAGATGAATTATTAACTTTTAAAAGGAAAAGGAAAAGTTCAAAGTAGTAGTACATGACAAATTCCATTTTGGTTATACTGGGGCTACTTAGGTCACATAGCAAAGGAAAGTGATACCAAACAGATTTAATTTAAGTGGTCACTCGATCTTCGCAATGTAATGGCGTGAAGCAAACAGAAAACTAAATCATGACCTTCTACTTCACAGTTTGTAGCTTTCAGAGAAAACGAGAATTATTGTGCTAGTTTTGCGCATGCTTCATTCTGATTAGCTGGTGTCACTAAAGAAACTTAACCTCCACTTAAACTGTCTGTGAGCCAGTGGCAAAATTCTTGAAGTGAACAGGCTTCACTAGACTTTGCAATTGAAATGACCAGACATCAAAACTGGCTACTCACTTTGTATCAGGTTTGTAATAAAACATGACAGGTATGACGACAAGAATAAGAGCCCACCAGCGGTACCAAGGTTCCTCCCACTCCTCCCACTGACGCTTCTCTCCAGGCTTCAGAGGCTGCAAATACAGCAATATGATTACAAATTATACAATACACTGACATTATGTCTCTTCACTCCATGCCTCAGGAGTTGAATATGAGAGCATTCTGATTAACATTAGATTTTATATAATTAAAAATTGAATCATTGGATAATGCAATTCTAGAGCTCTGATTGGCTTAGCCATCATGGTATATGAGCCATTATACCATGCTCTCCAAATATGGTAACTGCACGCATCTGTTCAAAATTAAAAACAAGCTGAAAATCGTTGGTTTTTATAAATAGAGTTGGGAAGAATTCTCGATATTTTGTGGGCATTTTTAATACAACAATAATTCCACTCGTGCTTGTTGGATATGAGATGATAATAGCCAACTCGGCGCTACGCACCTTGGCTATCTACCATCACATATCCAATGCGCACTCGTGGAGTAATTGTTAACTATAGACTGATAATAAGTTGCTTCTCTTCAGGCTTCAGAGGCCTCAAACAGATAATTATGATCCCGAAAAGATTGGAAATTACACAATAAACTGAAGAGGCTGGGTGCAAAGTCATTGCCATGAAAATGAAATTGTATACCATGCAAACAAAACTCATTTTCGCAAGGAAGGTTTTTCACTTAGCCTCAGTTTGAAAGTGGGAGTTTTGGGAACTCGGAAATGCATTCTAGTTCATCATTACCTATGATCTGTTAAAGTAGAGAGGCTGCTAAAATCATAGTGGTTTTTCTTTGTTTGCCAAACATCATATATACACTTTAAAACGTGGAGATGATATTAAAGTACAGGAAGGGAGTGACAGCAGCAAAGAAACTAAAGAAAGAAACCTAGAAACTTCAAAAGCATAAATGAACATAAGCTTCAATCAAGCGATGGCAACCTTTGCCTATCTGACACAAGAACACACAACTGGACAACCTAAGTTCTAAAGTACCAAAACCGTTGGAAAATCGAATATTCACCTTTTCATTGAAGAGGAAACCGTTTGGTGGTTCCCTATATTTTGTGAAAATGCTTTGTGTTCGAGAAGAACCCGCAATGAAGGCAATATTTCTTCTGCATAATGAAACGGCCCTAAAAATGCTACGGGCCGCCATCTTGAAATCCCTAGTACCTTCCCATGATGCTGCTCAATGAAAGCGACTTCCCAGCACGCAACGGGCTCCTGCAGTTTTTCTCCGAAGAGGGAACAGGAGGCTCCTGGGGAGAAGTACCTCCCCCAGTCCTCCCCTATGAAAAGCCAGGCCTTTACATACTAAACATGGCAATGGTTCAGTCTGTGACAAGGAACCGGCCCCATAATTTAGATCATAAATGCGGTATCGGTTTTTCATCTGTTTTTGCCAATTTTTCTTACGGTATTGCGGTATTGAGCCTTCCTTAAAGTCCCCCACCTGAGGAAAGCCAATATGCTCATCCATAGAGGAACCGCTTAGGCTGGCTTAGGGGTTTGCACGCCTGAAAATCTATCCGGTAGCCGGATCATGAATTTTGAAAATTTTACCGCCAAATAGACTTCAAAAACTATCTTCAAAGAAGCCAATACAAAAAATAAGAATACAAGCATATTGTTCTTTGCTTCTCCTATTTTTCCCTCCACGCTCATTCTATTTTTCCGCCTTTTTAGTTTGCTTGTGTGATTTTCAAGCTTATGGGGCGCAAAAAAACCTCCCTTAAATTTCACTCAAATGACTGCCAGTTTCGCTGAATTCGTTATCAAAAAATCGACCGGATGTTTCGAAAGAATTCTGCCAGTCTGTTAAAGTGTGCCATTTTGGACTAGCAAACGGCGTTTCAGGTCATTTGGCATCAATCAGGGGCACCCAAGGTCAATTTTCGGAATATATCTGTTCGGAAGACGATTTGAGATCTAGAATTTTCGGAAAATTTGTTGTAAAATTTCCTTCTTGCCTGCTCCTCCTAGGATTTTCGAACACGTCTAAAAATGGTATAATTGCCCATTTTTAACGGATTTTTTCTTTAAAAAGGTCACCTAGAATTTTCGGGAGCCTTTTTTCTGGCTGAAATTTTCGAAAAGGTAAGTTTTGATGCCCATAATTTTCGGATCACTAGACTTTCAGCTAGGCAATCCGAACAGATGAAAAATTTTTAGGGGATAAAAATATGACTATATTTACCGTTTAAATACTAAAATACGTTCAACAATGCTATGTTTAAGTTGTTTTGAACTATATCCTCGTTGGGTGCCCCTGATCAATGCTGCTGGTTTTTTGGCCGTCTTAGCACTGGCCGGAGGCTCGGCTAAAGCGTTTAGTTTGTAAAATTTCTCCCTCCTTTAAGAACCTCTCTAAATAAAAATTTCTGTAGTGATACTTTTTCGGAGCACCATTTGCTATTTGTGCTTTTACGAAATGAAATTTCATTGAATTTTTTTCGACTTTGGATGGTAGCAGGACACCACTTGAATCTAACTTGAAGTAAAAAAGAACCATATTATATCCTCGCGCCCCAGGTGCAAAGACACATGGTGTTTGTCAATAATAAGCGAACACAGTCGATGATATTATCGTTAAACAATGAATCAAGCTTGTCCAATAGGCGTACTAGATCGCTTTGAAAACAAAGCACTCTGCCATGGTGTCAGTATAAAAAGCAGATAAAAACGTCGCAGTTCCTTGTAGGCAGTCTTATCACAACAGAATCCTCGATCGCCTCTTTGACTTCGCATATTTTGCGAAGCGCCATTTGGACCTAGCTTCAATCAGTTAAATAATGGAAGAGGTAGAATCAGCAAGAAACGAAGACGCTGATGAAGAACGCAGTAACGAGGCGAAAAACTCTCGTCGAAAGCGGTGAGTACGAGAGTAGATTGCCAGACAGACATCGAAACAACACTTTGCTGTGCAGTACTTAACTTATCCAGAATGCCGGGGTTAAATACTATACCACTAATTATTATCAGCAAGGTTTACCAGAGCGTGTAAGAGCAGTGTTACAGCTATGCTAGACATGCAAATTTTTAGCGATAATACTTCTTGTATAACTGCGAATTAGTAAGACAATTCCTGTTCATAAATGCTAGTACACACATTGGAAAGAAGAATATGCGATTATACGAGCAACTCTTGTATGATTGGATTAGAGAGGTCCCTAAGTGCGGAAACCGCTAAATGGTTTTTGCCACCAACACTTCAGGGTTTCGCGTACAGTATTTCAATAAGCGCGACATACATCGAAAAGGAATATTCAATAAACATGAATAATATGCGATGCGCAATGTCTGTTTATTACTGAGAATATATTAGCTTTTGTGTGTTGCCAAATCTTTATTGAACATGCAATTTCTGAAATGTAGACCGCAACAATAATATTTACCCGAGTTTATCTATTGAGCTCGAAAAGAGCGAAAAAAAAAGAGACCCGATTGAATGGCAAAGATGGAGGAAATGAGCGCCTTTTTGTTAACAGTTCTAAGGCTTCTTGTGTGTCCTTTGCATTACAAGAGTAAGTTGTTACAAGATATCCTCGCCTAAAAATGTTGACATTGAAGTCATTCAACGGAGCTTCTGCAAACACAAACAAAGTCATACCGGTTTTGAAGTCTTTGTGCTGTGAATGCAAGATTTGATAACAAGTCGCTATGCCTTTTATGCCGAGAAAAGGGCAGGAGAAAGATAATAAAAAATTCAACGGATAAAATGCATAAAAAAGATTTGCAATCCGATTTATTTTAAGACACCTATAAGCGGCTTTCGTTATCCTATGGTTTTGATTATGGCTGCAAAATTAGACTAAATAAATGTCTCGCTAAATAAACAGTTTGGGAAAGTTGTCAGGATAATTAACACAGCCAATAGCAAAGAACAAAGTCTATTTTTATCATAATGTTTTATTACTGCGCATTATATACGTAGTTCTTGCCTACTATTAAATGGTCAAAACACGGTAAAAATATTAAACGACTAACATTGGTGGGATATTTAAACTTTCCTTGAATTGACTGATGATAACCTTTCAACTTTCAGTTAACAGTAATTTTTGATCTTTTAGCGCTGAAAGAAGGAGAGTGTTAATAGAGCCCAAAAAAAAATCTTTAAAGCAGAGCAAGTTGTAGCGAAATAAATGGTGTTGTGTTTCATTCCACGTTTTCAAACAAAACTACATACTCACACTTCGTGTCATCAGCTAGATGCGATAGCGATATGTTATGAGGGGCGAGCGAATAAACGTGAGACTCCTTTCGCTAGCCGCACTAACCCTCACAAATAACAGAATTCCTGTCAGTTCGCGCGGTTTCAAGAGACAGGCGTGTTTTACGAGAATGCTTATTAGGTAGAGAGCTCTCGCTTGTCGATGTGCATTCTCTAGTTTTGTGAGGCTCGGCGACTCCATCCCCAGAATCATACTGATTCCCTAGTACACCATCTCATGTGAATGAGCTATTGTAGCATGCAAGCGATTTTGCGCGCGTGTCACGCGCAAAAGTTCCCCCTCCCTACCTCTCAGATAGGAAAGTAAACTGTGTGTTCTCGCGCGATCGCGTGCGTTACTTCTCCCTGTCCATTCCCCTTCAAACGCCTACCACACAGGCTACTAGGAATAAAGCAATACGAAGTCTGTATCAGAATCATCAGTTTCTGGAGATTAAATACACGGGCTCAGAGAGAGCTTGATTTTAGTCGACCACCTGCCAGGTCACGTGACTGGGTCGCTCGCGTGACAATTTTTAAAGAGAGAAAAAAATTCGGTTCTCTGCCGTTTCTCGGAAAAAAACATCAGAAAGATCTCTGTGATCTTTATGGCTAAAAATTTCCCAGTTTTATATATTTTGGGATGTTTAATAAAGCAACAGACCTCGGTAAAAACTGAACAGTGGAGAATATTTTTTTATGTACGTTTAATGACTCGAGAAATTTACATCGACGCAGTCAAGTAAGCGCACGTCACAAGGGACTGCGGAAAATGAAATTACTCGAAACTGCAAGTTTCTTTTTAACATTTTCTCGTCCTGACAGATGTTTTTTTTATGTACTTCTTGGTGGATTTGGATCAGAAGGAACGAAACTAAAACTAGGAAAGGACAAATCTCGCTCATTTCTTCCCGCAGCAATTTCATCAGGATGTATGTAACCTGACCATTACAGACTTTTTCCTGCAACCGGAATTTTCAAATCTCGTTTCTGATAACTCAGAAGGAAAGCCTGATACTTATAGGCTGTGCAAAAGCCACCAAAAGATTCTGTCCTGCTCTCTCGGAATTGTTTAATACGCCTGAACATTTTGCATTTAATTTTCACCTTATTACGTGCACGTTATCTGTTTCGGTTATTGCTTTCTGCCAGCGTCAAAAGATTGTGTTATCAGTCTAGTCTTCCCTCGTGTAAATAATATATGTGCAGATTGTTACATTCTATCAGATGTCAACTTATGAGCGAACCGGCAAAATTGACAGTAGGGAGAAAGAAAAAAACTAACACTTGCGAAATAAAAAGAGATTAAAATTTAGCGGTAAAAAAGCACTGAATAAAAATACATCCGCTTGTTAAATTATCCTGAGCATGGTGAAAACTGGTTATTACTCAGGAAACATTGTAGAGTTCTGAAATCTTCGATCTCCTACGAAGTAGTGCGCTTCGGCCTATACGTGTGGCAATTGACCGTGTACAATAACTGTTCTACTGCACATATGTGTAATAAACCTGATATGAATCCTCTTTAACCTTAACAATAATTGTAATAATAATGATAATAATATGAGTGCCTATTAACGTATGACCAATTTACATTTCACTATCATAGACTAAAATTTTGATGAAATAAACAATATTAAAAGATCCTAAAATACTAATTTACAATTGCAAGGTCACGCAATTATCGACTTTCTAAAATTAGGGGACACACGCTTGCCTATCGTAATAATAATAATTAATAATAATAATAATAATGATTAATGATAATACTTTTATTATGAGAACATATCAAAACTATGTTGCTTGTATTTTTGGAATGCTCGTAATCAGTATACTTAACCCCAGTAGTAGGAAGAAACGTTTTGTCAATCTCTTGCAGGGTGCGAAGAAAGTCAGTTTTACAGCCTGCCATTCGGGCAAGCTGCAGCTAGCATGTACTAGCCCACAAGTCATTTTCAACTAGCCCCAAAACCCTTTTTGATTAGCAGGATTGATAAGAATCCTTCTGTAATTTGAATTTCCCCCAAAAACAGCACTTGCCCGTCGGGCAAGTTAAGAACAAAAATCGCTGGTCCAATAGAAAAATCCACTAGCCCCGGGCTTTCGGACACGATTTCTTTGCACGCTGCTCTTGTGAAATGTTGAAAGTTATTTCTTGACTGTGATCTCGCTGAACTTGAAGTATTTTGAAAAAAGTTGTCCAGTGTCGAGATGCCTCTCAGATGGCATAAATTTCGTGTTCTATTATCTGTTTCCACCTGGTCCCCAAATCGCTTATTTCTCAGGATCACGTTCTGCCGATTTCCTTTAATTTGAACTTCCGAACAAATTATAAAGCATTTAAAGGGTTTCCCCTTTCTCTCAAATGGGTTTTTATAATGTAGTCCCCTCGCACGCGCCAAGAAAAACGCACGCTCCCTGCCCTGAAGAAACTCAACTCAACTGTTTTTCGGTATCTAGGTTTCCGGTTCGAACCGCAGAACCATGTGCATTTAGTCAAACATAAAAGAGTGAAATAGCTCGATCAATGATGATGATAATGATAATGATTCCGAAGTTAATGATGATGCATATTAATATCATCATTATTATAATAATAACACGATAAAGATTTCTGGCGTAAACAGGAAGTGAAGGAGAAGTTGGAAAGAAGCTTGTGGCTATTTTTGAAAATTTAACTAATCAATAATAATAATAATGTTTGTTTCTTATATTGCACAGTCTAGCATGCGATAAAGATATGATCGAGTGCGCATTACAACACTAAAATCTTAAAGTAATAAATGGCTAGTCCCAATAATGATAATAATAATAATAATTTACAATTTTCGGAAAACAATAAAAGTAAAATATGAGTTAATAAAAGAACTAATAAAAAGCTAATTTAAAAAGATGTGTCTTTAGTAAAACTTTAAAAATGTTCAATGATTGACATTGTCTAATTTCTAGAGGGAGTCGATTCCATACTTTGGGCGCAGCAATGTAAAACAATGTAAATAACAACACAGATTGGCGTATTGGGTGATCGTCTCAAACCATTAACTTAATAAATGTCAGGTCTCCTGAGAATATTATATGTCTTCTTATTGCGTGTTTTTTTTTTTTAATGATGTTCATGTGCGGAACGAAAGTGAATATCAAGTGTGCACTTCTTATTTAACGCACGAATTATTTTGTAAACGATTGCATTCAAATTAAAAAAAGAGGCGGTTTGAGTATTAAGAAGTGAATACGGAGAAAACTATATGTGGATTATTCTTATGGTCTGTAAATAGAAATTGGATAAAAGGTGGATGTAATGTTTTTAATTGCTCATGTTACATAAAAATAACATACACTCCACCCCACCCCAGCTAGTACTACGCGTTCTTAACAACAAGCACTCAAAAAAGTATGTGGCGAGTATAGCCCGCAGAAGTTTGACAAGTATTGTTAAACATACGACGATTCGAAGTATGTTTATTTTGAACACAACACGAAACGAATGCCATGCTAACCTAAGGACGGTATTGTTTAATTTAAGGACAGCTAAATGAACTGCTGTAAATGTTCTATTTCCAGAATGCCGCTGTTTGGTAAGAAAAAGTTCGACGAGAAGATCACGAAGAAATATGTGTTTCACGAAGTTCTGGGGACGTAAGTATAACCACAAAAGCATGGCAGATAGTGTGTAAAATAAGATTTGAGCAAAGTGTAAAGTTCCATTCAAGTCTGCGATTAGACGTGCTAAAAGTGATGTCAACTGGTTTCCTCTCCTGAGCGGTTGATACTTGAGGTGAAACCTTTATGTTTTAAAACATAAACAATTCTGACCGACTTGACTGTTGCTCATTTTCACAGGGGAGCTTTCTCCGAAGTTGTTATGGCCGAAGACAAGACAACTAGCCAATTATATGCTGTTAAATGCATCAACAAGCGGAATCTTTCCGGCAAAGAAGATGCAATCGAAAACGAAATCGCTATCTTAAAGAAGTGAGTCATTACTAGAAATAATAACCGGTCCATGTTCATTTACATCGCGACTGCATGCTTTGCCTAGCCAGTCATAAAATATTTCTACACGCACGACAGTGCGACGTTTCGAACGTTTGCCGTGTATTTTAATTAAGATCATTCGTTCTTTGAGCAATCGGATCATTACTTACTTTTGTCTGTGTATTTATTCTACCAACAGGGTCGACCATCCCAACATTATCCGACTGTGGGAAATATTCGACAACAAAACCCACCTGTATTTAGTAATGGATTTGTAAGTAGCTCAAGCATTTTTAAACTCAGTTCTCACATACGCCATGTTAATGGCTTTGTTCAAATCTTGATTAAAATTTAATCAAACTTCTAGAGGCCAAACAGCGAGTGCTGTTTGATAATAATTATCTCGCTGCAGCTTGCCCTTTGAATTTGATAAACGCTCGGGTGGTGATCTGTCAAAAAATTCTAGCGATCTGTTCGACCTTAATTTGCTACATATTACTCGGGTTTAGTATGCCTCTTCTTAATTTTCTTCCAATTCCAAATTTCAATTCCCTTACTTATTTGCTCAAGGGTGATGAATTCATTTGTCGTGATCAAGCAATAATTTGATGTTTTACAGACGATGTGGGCTTGAAGGTGTTAGCTGTATCACGCTGTTTGATATTCATAACACGAAAACATTTCCTGGTCGATCTTGCACTTGTAAAATACTCTTGAAGCAATTAACGTCCGCGGGAGTTCTTCCACGAGAATAAATTTACAATTTCGAACGTGCGTTTTCCTTAATTTGAAAATTGCGTACGGCGAGACTATAGCTCCAATTCACGCTTTTTTGTTTCTCTTTTAACATTGTTTTCCTTATTTTAGAAGGGAATTATTTTCGATCCCAAGGGGTTATCACTAATAGCTAGTTAATTTCCGCTGATCGTTTGAGTCAAAGGCAAGCTGACGTTCTGGAAATATAATGTAAACAAAAGAGAACATTGTCATTCCAAAGTCTAGCCCTAAAGTCGCGATTTAATCCCAAGCAACTCAACATTTCTAGTCAAAAAAATTAAAGATTTGTAGTTTTCTTTGTTAAAAAATATGCTAAATAAACAACAGTCTTCGAAAGTAATTAATCATATTTGATAGGTTTCATGTTTATTGCAACAAAATTTGAAGACTGCCAGATTTATTCCAACTTCACAACCAGAAGCTAAGGGAAAAGTAATCTAGGATTTACTGGGGGTCAATAAATGTGTCAATCCAGTCACAGACCGAAAACTACTGTTAATGGCGCGACCGTGATCGTGTCGAGTTCTTGGCGGTTTAAAATAAAATATGCATGCTGCCTCTTGGATTTTGGAAACCAAAGGCTCAGACCCTCTTGTTATCTTCAACTAAAACAAACTAGCGGGTTAATTTCACATTTAAAGCATGTAGATGATTATTTTGGCGCTGTGTGATAAAGACTTGAACTCTGCATCTCTCATAATTTCACTTTTAATCTTCTATGCCAAAAATTGAACTTTAGTGTGAGTTCGTACGTGCGCGCGCGTGGGCGAAACGCTGAACGTCATGTGGAAAAAAAATCCTTGTATAGAGAAGCAAATGCTGAACGATGTCATCCGAGTTAGAAGCAGTGTTTTTGATTGAATATAAAATTTTAAGGCTCTTTCTAGATAAAATGGTATAAACTGTATAATTATTAATTTTTTTCTTTTTATAACTGAAATTTTAATATTTCAAGAAGTCAAATATTGATATCTGTTTCTTAGTAATTGTTTGTTTCTTTACATGACATGGCAAGCATGGGGCATTCTGAAACTAAGAATGATGATGACGTGCTGTAGGCAGGTGCTCTGAAGTTGCTCTGAACAGTTTCAAATTTTGCTACATGTAAACCGTATTATCAGCACAGATATTCTCTGTACTCTCCTTCCTATGTATTTCTTATGCATGGTAAAGGTTATCGGAGAATTTGCATAACTATCAACATGTTCCTTTATGCTTAGTGATTTATTCCAATTATTATGATACAATAATGATGATGATGATGACTAAAATGCTGCGGGGGGGGGGGGGGGGGGGGGGGGGGGAGGAGGGTGGGCCCCATGGTCCTACCCCCAAAACCACCCAGGGTTAATTGCCATCATCATTATTTGTTGCATAATTTAACTCAGTAATTATTAACAATTATTCCTTGAGCCCGAATGAGCTCTGAGACAATAGCCCATGAGGCCGAAGGCCAAATGGGCTCTTCACTAAGAGGCCATGAGGGCCAGAGGAATAATTGTTTTAGTAAAATCCAACTAGTTGGTCAAAAATATCGAGAAAAAAAAAATTAGCTAGTTAAAGCTAGATTTTAATCCTTTTTTGCCGCCAAAAAGCCTGCGCTTTTTGCTACTAGTGGGCTATAACATATAGCCTTGTAGTAGCTCAACCAATCAGAACCCAGCATTGATAATAGACCACTAGTTGGATTTCACTAATCAGAGATAGGCCCCGTGTCTAACATCCCATAATTTCATTTCAGGGTAAAAGGTGGAGAATTGTTTGACAGAATAGTAGAGAAAGGAAACTACACAGAGAAGGATGCCAGTGACCTCATAAGACAAATTCTTTCAGCTGTAGATTATTTACATGATAAAGGCATAGTGCACAGAGATTTAAAGGTGACGTATAATTTACTACACAGCTATCTAAAAATTAATAGTTTCAAATTATTTGCATTCTATGTTATATCATATATTGCTTTAAGTAACATTTTGAAAGGTCTTAGCCACTTTAAATGATATTGTCGAGAAAGGAAATCTATGATACAGGCCATCTTTTTTGCTTAAAATGTGAAATTTGACAATGGCATATGCCCTACTCCCATGCAGACCTTTGATGACAAATGTCTCATGGTAGGAACTTACAAACTCACAAGGCAACCTGGCATGTTCATCCCCCCTGACCAGGGGAATGAACACGCTTGTTATTAACTGAGCTAAAAGTAAGTAAATCATTGTTCCATAGCTGAACAGCTGTTACTATTGAATCTTCAAGATAATCTATTATATTTATTTTATGGATCAATCTTAGTCCCACATTAAAAAAGAATTGCCAGTGTTTATACTTACAGAGTTTTATCAGCTGTTATTAGTTAATCCAGAACTTATTTTGCTTTATATCTTTCAGCCTGAAAACCTCCTTTATTACAGGTAATTTATATTTTCAAGCTTTTTCTTTTTCAACCGTTAAAATCCCAATCTAAACATTTTGCGCTTAATATTGCCTCTCTTAGCAGGTAATTTATTGTGTACTAAGAGACAATGACTTCTTGCATAAATGGTGCCTTTTTACTAATTTACTGTTTCAGCCCAGATGAGGATTCAAAAATAATGATTAGCGATTTTGGATTGTCAAAAACAGAAGATGATGATAGTATGATGGCTACAGCCTGTGGAACACCAGGATACGTTGGTAAGTTAATTCATGTTTTAAATAAATCATTGTAAGGGTAATCTAAGGGATAACCTGTGGATGACTTTTGTCCCTGATTTTAAATTGAAATAAGTTTTGGAATTATGTCAGTTTTTTGGAAGTAGTACTATAATTTTGAAGAACCAAGGAAAACAATGTGAGGGTGAGAATAGAATGAGTTTCATGGATTTGTTATTTGCACACCTTCTCGCACTTTGTTTGCCCCCCAAATTTTGTGCAAGAATAAAATATCGTTTTCTATTTCTCTTGGGATGACTCCTGCATGAGCCAGACAGGTACAACGAACAGTCTAGTTTGCAGGTAAATTCCTCTGTATAAGAAGATCATGAAAGCAGCATGATAGATGCTGGCCTCTGATTGGGCAAAAAAAAATCAGAGAGAACCATTTAGATGATTCATGGAGCTGGTTTGTTCAGAGTAGTATCCCAGGGGCTCTCTCACCCGTTATTGAAAACTTTCCCCGCTGTTTTTCCCGACCCAACTGACCGCCCCAAGGATAACTCTAAGGTAAAGTTCAGTTTTTAAAAGATGATTTGCTTCTCATGTAGCTGGAATTGGCACACGTGAATTTTACGTTATATAATATGGGTACATTATATACAGATCACACCAGGAATACTATACCAACAAGGGCAAAAATTGAGGCCCTCAAAAACCATACCCTTTCGGGCAGCACATACCTCCCTATCTAGCCCTTATATGGGATTACCTCCCCCGGAATTGTGGGCTTCTTTTATAAAACTTTATCATTCAACTCTGTCCTTCAATTGCTCACGGATGTAGCTATATTTTTGTGTTTCATTCATATTTTCAGCACCAGAAGTCTTAAGACAAAAACCTTATGGGAAGGCCGTGGACTGTTGGGCACTTGGAGTAATCTGTTACATTTTGTAAGTTTGATAGTGTTTTTTGAAGGCAATTACAATTTTTATCTTCTTGCTGTTTTCCTTTTGTCTCTTATGTGCTGTATAAGGAGAATTTGATCAGTAATCAAGATCTTATGTCACATTTCATTGATCCCTTTACTTTTAACGATAAACCAGTGACAGCTATGAGCAAAACTACATTTCTTATTTTAGAATTCTCGTCATTTTATGAAAGCTGGACACACAGCACATTTAAGTTTCAACATTGTAAACCCTTTATTTTTACTTATATATTTATTTTGCAAGATGATATTAGAGCTTAGAAAATTGGAAGTAAACTTCAATTACCAGTGAATTGTTTTCTCACTTGTTTTCACAATATTAATTGATGGTAATCTATTGTTAAGCTTAACATTAATTTAGCTTAAGTCTTTAAAGGTTTATATCAAATTACTTCTTAACTATTTTTTATCTTAAAGACTCTGTGGATATCCCCCGTTCTATGATGAAAGCGATGCAAATTTGTTTGCACAAATCATGAGAGGGGAGTATGAATTTGATTCACCGTACTGGTAAGTTTTTTTTGTTAATTGAAATCGTGGAGTGAATCAGTGTTGAACTGGTTAACACTCTGAGATTTTGCTTTCCTATCCTTTGCCCCGCATGATTTTGCCAAATGCTTTTGAATAAATAATTCATCGGGTTAAGAGGATTCTGTAAAAGAAAACAGACCATGCGTGCTTCTTCAGGATTCAAAATCAGTAGAAAATATTCGGTTACTCTGGTGAAAAACAGATTTTCGTGACCAAGACCATACAAATCACCCATCAAATGCCATCAAGAATTAACACTTCTTTTTCGGTGCAACGGAAGTATTTCGCTTACTGGATATCAAGTACAGTTAATCATGTTAAGGCTCCTATGAATTATTTCTCCGTAAAGTAATGTTCAAGTTTATCACGTGTGTTGCGACTCAAACTAGAAATATGTTTATTCATATGATGTCTTTCCTGCGCTGTCATCACTATGTAACTATTTTTACCGTTTTTTAAGATATACACTTACCGATGCTTGCTTTTATGGTCTTTAACGCATCCAACCGTTTAAGAAGCTTCGGTCCCTGCATGAAAACACAGACTGAAAACATAAACCGTCAAACTGTTTAAAGAGCTTCGGTCCCTGCATGAAAACACAGACGAAAGCAAAAAAGCTTATAGCGGCTGGAATGATCTCAGACGATAAGCTCATGTCTCTCCTTGTTATAAATAATCCACAAACTATTTGAATGTCTAACCTTTAACTTAACATAATAAGCTTAACTATATAAATCTAACTTACCGTGTTATGATTAAAAGGAAGCCATTCCTGAAAAATGGTGCAACCCACAATGCACTTTGCTTTTTGTCCACACCCACTTCATGTAGTTCTGAGTCACAAAACTGATCTCTTCTTTCTTTTTTATTAAATTTTTTTCGTAGGGACGATATCTCGGAATCGGGTAAGTATTAAAGCTCTCTTTTCGGACGTGCTAAATTGCAACCGCCGTAAAAAATGTTGGTATTAAAGGCTTGTTTATAATGGAAAGTGCACTTTGCTTATCCAGCTAGTTTACACGCACTCCCCTCAAATACTTCGAAACAAAAAAAATAATTTAAATACAACATAACAGGATTAAAAACCACAACTGGCAGGAGGCAACCAGTTGGCTATTTACAAGCGTGGCCGAGGATTTGAACTCGAGAATACCGAGAACAAATAAGCGGGACTCGAACCTGGGACCGCCGGATTGCGAGTCCGACTCGCTGACCACTCGGCCACTCCGTCTGCCTCCAATGACTTCACAAAGTCATTTTTGACTGTGGCGTTTTGACAAGACATCACCGAATTTGACATCGGTTAACCTACTCATTACTGATAATCTAAAAGAAATTCATTGAGAACAAAAGTGTAGTTTTAACATATTTTAGCAATAAACGGAATTATAAGCCTTTTAATACTTCCGCTGTTTAGAATTTGTTTTCTTACCGGCGCTTGTCTTTGCGTGGTCTTTTCCGTTAGTAAATTATGTGCGTTTTACTGGTCATTTCAGCACAACATTTTATCACGTGTCTACTACAAGTCGACCCCAAGAAACGCTACAACTGCAAACAGGCATTGGATCACCCATGGTACGCCATGTTTATCTTGTTTATTTTACACGAATAGTTTTTCTTCCAGTGTTCTCCGGTTCCCTTGAAAATTTAACACGGCTGATAGACTACTAATCAATAGAGCCTATAGTAACCCAGACTTATACCCCTGGGAAAACTCCCTTATGACCATAACCGGGGTACTTGTCCTTCCTATGTGTGATCACTGGAGGCCTGAAAATTTGTGGATCGGTTCCGCTTATGGTTACTTGCATTTAAAATGTTTAAAGCTTAGGGACGTTAAAAAACTACAATGGTCAAACACGATGATTATACGCGCATGTTGCCACTGAACACTGCCTTAGTTTGAGACACGCTCGCAAAACGAGTCGTCCTTCCCCGTGTTTGTAACATCGGAGTTCTGTTGCTGGGCTTGAAAAAAACTTGAATCCCAGCTTGTCCTTTGGGAAAGTCGCTCTCACATCATGCTTGCCTGAGGCCCCTTTTTCCTCGTCTTAGTTAATGATTTTGTTAGAGGACAACTTATCTCGACCAGGAGCCTATTACTAGTAATCGGCTCCTGCCTGGAAGGCCTTGTCCATGGGACAAGTAAGCTCGGACTAACTGACTGGACTTTTACCTATATTTACGGGTAACGACGAGCGACAATTATATTATTTAGTGAATCTAGATTCTAATTCACTGAAATGATAAATGAAGAAACAAGCTGTAGCCTCGATCGTAACTAAATGCGCTTTGACTTGAAAACTCTTCAGTAAAATGGCTTATTCCTGTTCTTCAGTTAATCTCTGTTTCTGGTTTCCTTTGTTATTTCAGGATTTCTGGTGGAGCGGCCAGAGAGCGCGACATTCACGCCTCAGTCAGCGAACAAATGAAAAAGAATTTTTACAAAGCAAAATGGAAGGTATGATATGGTGATATTTTGGGATAGTACTCTCTTGATTGAAATAAATAAACATATTAATAACAATTTTTTATTAGTAGCTAGGAAACCTAAATGAAACCACGGGACTTAGTATAACATTAATACTCTTTAATAAGCAGGTCTTCTGTAATTAACTTGTCTCGCAATAAGCCGTTTCTGGGTTGCCTCAAGCCTCTGTTTCAAAGCGAGGCTAAGTGCAAAACCATTGATATGAAAATGTATTTTTTTCTTATGTAAATTAGCCCGCGAAAACATCCGTTTCTCCTCGCTCTTCGCCGCTAGGGACGTTTCGCGCGGAGGAATCGTTTCTGCGACTCAGCGACAGAAATTCCATACTGATGACGCAAAATGGAATTTCTGCCGCTGAGGTCGCAGACGTTCCTCCGCGCGAAACGTCCCCAGCGGCGAAGAGCGAGGAGAAACGAATGTTTTCACAGGCTATATGCAAATAAAACATATTTTCACAACAAAGGTTTTGCACGTAGCCTCGTTTTAAACTGGAGAGGTTTTGGAGCTCAGAAACGGCCTATTTTATTTTTGACGAATTTCTACTTCTTCCTTCCTCTTCCTCTCCCTTGGTCCCCCGTAGCCAGAGTGGGGACGACTAGGGGAGGGCCCTTTTTGGAGTGATGTTAAAGCCATTTTGAAATAAATCACTCGATTACTTGTACTGTCTACTTATTCTTGTTCGCTTTATTCCTTTTTATCTTACAGCAAGCGTTTAATGCCACAGCTGCCATGAACCGATTGAAGAACCTTAAACTAGGCGCTGATTCAGCTAGAGCGTCTGAATCGAACAACAACGCCAAAAAAATTTAACAAGTTGGTCTGATCTAGGGACTGTATTTTATATGATATAAATCTTGATAGATCTTTTTTACAGTATAGAATTTCAGAGCAACCGCCATGTTTTCTTGGCCCGGCCTAAGAAGCTCATTATTTTAGAACATAGTCTTCCCCACCCCCTTACCCGTGGGAGGCGCTGGGGTGGGGGGGGTGGGGGGAAGAGACACAGTCTCTCTCCTCCGCTCCCCCAATGGGTAAGGGGGATGGAGACAGCTGACATTTCAGACTATTTGGAACACTGAGGTAGTGTTATAAACCTGAGCTTAGGCTACTGGTCAAAAGACGCTAGTTCTTTTAATTGTAATTAGCTCCGTTTTTTTTTTGCTCTGGAGCCTTTCATAATTGTCTTACAAATTGAGATTAGTGCGACGATTGAAAGAGTGGAAAACTTTTGCATAGAGAAATAACAAAAATAGCAAAAGGATATGCGTTTTTTAAACGCGAGATTCTTCGTCAAGCGTATATGCTAAATGCACAGCTTCTTTTGCTTGCAGAGTAAGCTGAATTTTTTAGAAGAAATTTGTGCCTTGCGATGTTTCGTTTAGTTGAAAAAAAAAACGAAATTACAAATCGCTATTGATTATCTACTGTTTACACTTTAAAGATCCTAGAAAGGTTGAAATCTTAGGTGCGACGGGAAGTGGTGTCATTGCAAAGTTTTGAATAGTTTGAAGGTCCTTTCTATAAAATAATAGAATGTAAACAATGGAAAATTGTTGTTGACTCGTTTTTAACATAGACACCGAAATTTTTGATCGCCGGATTTCAGCAAAGACTGTCGGAAAGTCGCGCGCGTGTGACAGGGACGACAGAATTAGGCCATTTCTATTGCTCATACTCTGTTAGCTTCCGACCAAATAAGCGCGCAAGGTTTTACAGGAATTGTAAAAGTGGCAATAGTTTCATACGTGCTACAAACAGCTTGATTGTGCGCTAACTTGCAAAAAAGCGATTCGAAATTGCGAGCAGAGTTCCAAGCTTTTCAGCAATAGGCTGTTTTAATTAGTGATTACCGGTAATTATATCTACAAATATTAAATATGGAATAAAGTTTCAAAACTTTGTGGTAACAAGTTTGTTGATATGTGGTTAAAGCACTTTGTTGTCTATTTCATGTATTTGACCTTTGGTCACTTTGTCCTCTTTTGTCGTGAGGTTCAAGAGAACATTGATGACGTCTCTATAAATAAGCTCAATTCTTACATTTGAGCTCATCGCTCAACAGTTTCTCCTGGTAATGAAACCCGTTTCTAAACGAAAACCTTGTTTGAATACCACGCCCTTTACAGGTGTAAACAGTGTAAATAACGGTTTCTAACTCCCTGACATCTTAATTCTTTCTATTTGGCTAATATTCATTTTTTTGTAGTGCGGCCTTCATGGGAAGGAGGTAAATTCACAATGCCAGTTAAAATTTATTTCGGCCATCTTTAATTAATGAACAACCTGTGAAATCTCTATTTGCATGCTTATTCGTAGGTGTGTATTTCCAATGACAAAATAGAAGATTAGTTATTGACCAATCAGAGCGCGCGCTTTACTTTTGTCAGGCAACCCATATGCTGTTTACTCTTCTCGCGGGGTGGGGGTTCTCAACGAAGTTTATACGGGGTGGCTCCTCCCCGAGGGGCAATCCCTTACCCTTTTATCACTAAACCAAGAGGATTTCTTGTCTCTTTCACGTCCATAAAGTGCGTCTGTTAAGCTGTTAGCCCTTTATGGTCCTTTCACACGGCGAAACGACAGATTTCCCTCCCTTTTATATAATTCAACTAGTGTAATCCTTACCATTTCCTGAAGCCTAAAATAGCTACCCCTTTTCGGCGGAGCCTTCCCGTATAGGCCTTATACAAGGGAGTACCCCCTCCCCCTAGGTTCCCCTGTAAACTCCTTAGTTGTCTGTTTCTGGTGCATCTTCGCAATGAGTAAACTGTACAAGCGAAACAGGAGAGGAGCTACAAGCATTTGTCCAAAGATTCAGATCATACAGTCTTCCTCTTTTCCTGGCAATTCCGTCGGCTAAATTTTCCACAGCTTGAATTTTCCGCATCTTGGTGAGGCGAGTATCGGTCTGGCAACCACTTTCTTCGTGGCCTGTTCGTCGTAAGCACTGCATCCACGGTGTTCTGTTAGTTGTACACAGTTTAATTAATTCAGCTCTGAACTTCCGGTTCAACGCCATTATAAGACAAGGGTTAACAGCATTATTCGCATGCGCAAAGAACATGATAAACAACGACCAATCAGAATCCACGCTTACATTTCCGTCATTTTCAAACGCCATGTACATGTAAAACACGTGAACAGGAAGCCAGCATGACGCAAATGTTGCTATGACGACGATGAGCATGCGTATTACGCGGCGTTTTGACATCTCAACTGCGTGTCTGTGAATGCTGTGGATGTTACCTGGAAGGGTTCGGAACCACAGTTTTCGACAAATAAAAATGTACAGTATTGTCAGAAGTGAGAGAGGGAAGGCGTATAAAAAAACGAACAAAGAAGAAAAGTGAATTTTAATGATGACACGATTAGCCACAACGTAAATGCATGGATGCTGGCGGGAAATCTCCTTGACACCATACATCGCAAGATAAGGGGACATCAATACCACAGATAATATCCATATCATACAGGTCAAAAGTCTGGTATTTCGTATCAATACGATGATTTTAGATGGAAATAGAATGGCGTAGAACTGATTCAATGAAATACCTATTAAAGTCAATACGAACCCTGCAGTGGAGATGCCGTTTAGAAAATATATGAATCTGCAAGAGATCTGCCCAAGGACACCATCAAACCATGCATTAGCAACGAAAAGATGCCTCGCTGAATATGGCATAATGAACACAGCTACCAGAAGATTGAACACCGCTATGTTAGTAAACAAATAATTGATAGTTGTCTTCAAAGAGGGTCGCTTGAAAACGATGTACACAAGTAAAATATTTGCACTTAGGGCCACCAAGAAAATAATGATATAAGCGACTGTTAACAACGATACTGTTGCTGTGTTGAAAGGAAGATCCATGATGAAGTTCAAAAAGTTGATTCCTTTATGCTACGATCTGCAAATAGAAATCAAGACAAACGATTTTTTAAAAGAAATTAGTTATTTTTTTGTATGGCCTGAAAAATCATAGTCACTAGAGGAGACTGGTTATGAAAGGCTGCAAACCAACGGTGCTTCGGTTTACGTTGAAAGATCTCTGATGATGCACAATTCAATTGTTTTTTGTTCACAAATTGTGATGGAATAAATCAATGCAACATCAGTTTATTGGTCAATAAGATCCAAATGATAGGATACCTATTGAATGTAGTAAAAACCCTTGAATGCAGAGGTCCACTCAACGCGTAAATAAAACCGACTGGTTCTTTCTTGTCGGATCTCTAATGTAGAGATGCTAACGCCAGACGTCACTTTAAGTGGGAATTAAAACAAAACTGAATTCAAGGCTGGCAATACAACAAAGGGCTGATTTATTTGAGACCAATATTTCGGCTGACAAAATCAGTAGCCTTCCTTAGTGCCAGAGCTACATTGAAAAGAAATACTATGACGGATGCTAAAATTTGAATTTAAATTTACATTTGAATTTACATTTTGAACTTGAATTTAAATTTAAACTTACATTAGAATCTGGCTATCGATGTTGTGCACCTTCAAGTCCCCAAAATCATAATTAAAACAACGGATTCTAACAGACTTCATAACCATTCTACTCTATTAGTTACGGTATAACTGACAAAACAGACAAATGTTGAGACAATGTATTGTAAGTCTGTGAAGAAAAATCCGAGTCTGATTCTTATGAGAGAAATAGAGATGCCTCAGTTGGCTGGTAGTAGCTGGGCCAGTACACCGGTCCTCGGCTAAGCCCAGCCTGTAAATGATCCTATTCTTCCACGTTTCAATCAGTCTGCGTGGCAGGCGCTTGAAAGGGACGGGGTCCAGGGATAACTGGGGTGGACGCGCGAGGGCGCGAGGGAGGGGAAAGGCAGGGTCAGGTTAGGGCCGCGCCCCTCGCGTTCCTGTGTGGACGAACTCCCTGTTCTCCCTCCGTATTTGAACGCCTGACGTTCCTATCAGTGTGCTGCAGCTATCGGGGTTGGTTTCTTAGATTTGCTGATTCACTTCAGGTGACGCAGGATGTACATAAGGGCCCAGTTGTTCGAAGGGTGGATAGCCCTATCCACAGAATAAATATCTGTCTCTACGTCTGGATAGCGCAATTGGTTTCCCTAATACTTATCCACTGGATAGTGATTTATTCAGTGGATAACGCTATCCAGCTTTTGAGCAACTGGGGCCAGGTTGAAACTGGGAGCAGGTAAAATTGTTCGTTATACCGCCATTAGCTATATGTCTTTCTGTTCTGTCGGCATCGGGGATAAACTAAATTACCCTGACTAAGGATGTAATTCCTCACAGAGATGCACGTTATATAAAAGGGGCTCGTTATGTATCGAAGCTTCACTGTATCATGTGGTCAGTCTCTGAATTTTCTTTTGCAAGGTATTCTATTATTTATCAGTAATACTTTTACCTAGCAGTTGGTTTTTGCAAAGTTGCGTCTATGTTCGCTTTAATTTCTTAGTGGGGGCACTTCGATTCAAACTTGCTATCTTTTCCCTATAGTTCTATTGCCTGTTGTATTCGTTATATACTATAAATACCTCACCTTTCGCCAGATTGTATAACTTGGAATTCTTTGTATCTCAACTTGTTTACTCAACGCTTAAATTTCTCCCAGAAAGACGGAATTCTACCATTCTCTGCATACCTTTTTACGAACGTGCAAAAATTCTTCTTAGAAGTAACACAACGAAGCAAATACGAAATCAAAGCTCTTTGTATATGCCAGGAAGTTGCATGGCATTATAATGTCTTTTATGCAAGATTAACATCCTCACGTATAATTTGTCTTGATCATCATGGCGACAAGAAAACGATATCAAAGGGCTTGCCTTCCTATAAATACACAGGATAAGTCTTCAATAATTTGATGGGAATTTAGCTATTATGCCAGCGCACTGTGTCCGTAAACTACCTTCTATCCCATCTTAATTTTCACTTTTCGATCTTTAGATTATGTGCGAGTTATTAAACGCCAAGGAAAATGGGTTCTCAGGGTAGAATCTACGGCAAAAACTAATGTTTCATTACGCCACTTCACTGAATCGCTTCCTCTATAATGTAATTGTTCAATAGGTGCCGAAATCACCTACCCTGAATTTCCCTTCCTCTTGAGCTAAAAATATGTTTAACGACCGGAATATTCGAGCTTCCTTCAGGGTTTATTACAATCTAAAACCACCACTATTATTCAATTGTTGTTATTTATATAACGTCTTATTGTGTTTCAGGTCCTTTTTCACCAATTAATTAAAAGAGTTTGCGAGTCATGTCACGTCTTCTAACTGCTCTACCGTATTTTTACATATTTTGATGGCAAATGTATTTGAGGTCCGAATCTCAGGAGTACTAACTACCACGACTCACGACCTTATTCATTTTGGAGGGGTTAAAACCGCCGTTCTGGGCACAAAAAATTCACGAATAACTCGAGAAAATGTGAAAGAAATTGTACAATGGAGAAGTACGATCCTTTATTCAGCGCCTGTTTTTTGGGTCCTCTCACGATAGGATAAAGGTCCGAAATTATCAAACCGTTTTATTTTTCGCGGCTCCATGGTGTGCCCTCGTACTAACTGACCTTGAATTACCGGGAGACGATGGACTGATTCATTCAAATTCTGATTCAGTTTGAACAAGTGTCGGAAACGTGAACTGGTGCATGGATGTACCCAATACCCGGCCGTGAAGGCCTGGAACAAGTTAGGTTTTGTCCATAATACCTCATTGCCTGACACTGACTTGGAATACAATTGAAAAACGTGTAGAAAACGAAAAAAATAATGTTTGAAGCCTGATTAAGTATTTTCAGACATATAACTAAAGCTATTAGCATAAACCAACAAAATCATCGTGCGGACGTCCAGAAATAGCCAGTCAATGGATGAAACGACTGCGTGGGAAGATTCCCTCCTCAGCTGAGCACGTACCCTGATCTTTTGCTTTGAATGAGCGCTTTGCAGTCATACTCATTAAGTACCTGGCAGAGGCTTTGAGTCTCAATGCGAGCTTTTTTCTTGATACTTCAGTGAAAATGGAATCCAGCTAAAGTTTTTTTTTCACTCACCCTTACACCCTCCCTTCCCCTCTATATGACAAGTTTGTCATAACAAACATTTCACGCGGCGAGGTCTCATCTCAAAAATACAGGAACTTTATTCCGATTGGTTAAGAGGATGGCTCGAGTGTTTTAATCAGTGAAGTAGCAAGAAGGCATGAAGTTTAAAGCAATGCCTTATATTTCTCACACTCAATCAGAAAGTATTTGAGAAAATACTACAGACAGGAATAATGATACTGATATTTGTAGCCTTTAAGTTTTGAAATTGTTCTTGAAATACGACTTTCCTTCCTGGTCCTTTAATTTGATTAAAAACTCTATCAGTTTTGTCTTGATGTTGATTTATGATATTCATCTATGCATGAGGAAATCGTCAGTGAGAAATAAAATTTAACTGCTTTAGTTTACATTAGATCTCGAGAGTAATAATTTTGATCTAGATCAAACGACTTTTTGTTTTAAAAGGCACCTCAAAATGAAGCGTATTGTTTGTTCAAGTATTAACAATAAGTCCCCATTTTCCCGATCTTGTCACAAAACAATGAAGACGGTTTACTCTTACTCGAACACTATGTTTTTCCATGCAAATTTTCTCTTCAGCATAGTCCAAATGAATACCGCCGTTGCCTCGTTTACTTTGCAGCGCCCGGTTTCCAAATTCGTAATTTGTCACTTCAGAGATCTGATGTGGAGAAAGCTAGAACTGAGCTCTTTCGAATAACTTTCTGAATCACAAACAAGCGGACGTCGGTCGACGAAAAGAGAGCATATATTTAACTGGAGGCGCTCTTGTGTCGAAATCGAAGGTAAGTAATTTGGATAGTCGTTAAGGGTAATCATACAAACCACAAATGTTTAAACATAAATCTCTTGTATTTCAGTTCCTTCGGTTTGTTTGGATACAAAGAATAACCCTGGATAATTATTGCAGGAGCTGTTGTGAAGAATCAATTCAGTTATATTCTACGTGGAAATTTAATTTCATAAAATTATCAATTTGCACATTTGAAATAAGCTATTCATTTCAGTTATGTAATTACACAGTTAACCGACCAGAGGAAGTAGCCTTTGCGCACATTTATTGCTTAAAATACGATTAACGGTTTGATCTGAGCTGCTGGTTTGAAGACGCTTCGTAAAAAAATGAAAAAGTTTCAATTTGTTAATAACTGATTTAGAAAATTATCAAGAAAAGAGAAAAGTCCAAGAAAAGAAAAGAATGGCAGATTAAGCTCAAAGCTGTTAGGGGTTGGGAATTATCAACTGAATTATGTCTTCTCTCCACCATAACCTGCAAACCTAGTTTGTTGTCGTTGTCGTTGTTGTTAATCCAGTNATGTTTTTCCATGCAAATTTTCTCTTCAGCATAGTCCAAATGAATACCGCCGTTGCCTCGTTTACTTTGCAGCGCCCGGTTTCCAAATTCGTAATTTGTCACTTCAGAGATCTGATGTGGAGAAAGCTAGAACTGAGCTCTTTCGAATAACTTTCTGAATCACAAACAAGCGGACGTCGGTCGACGAAAAGAGAGCATATATTTAACTGGAGGCGCTCTTGTGTCGAAATCGAAGGTAAGTAATTTGGATAGTCGTTAAGGGTAATCATACAAACCACAAATGTTTAAACATAAATCTCTTGTATTTCAGTTCCTTCGGTTTGTTTGGATACAAAGAATAACCCTGGATAATTATTGCAGGAGCTGTTGTGAAGAATCAATTCAGTTATATTCTACGTGGAAATTTAATTTCATAAAATTATCAATTTGCACATTTGAAATAAGCTATTCATTTCAGTTATGTAATTACACAGTTAACCGACCAGAGGAAGTAGCCTTTGCGCACATTTATTGCTTAAAATACGATTAACGGTTTGATCTGAGCTGCTGGTTTGAAGACGCTTCGTAAAAAAATGAAAAAGTTTCAATTTGTTAATAACTGATTTAGAAAATTATCAAGAAAAGAGAAAAGTCCAAGAAAAGAAAAGAATGGCAGATTAAGCTCAAAGCTGTTAGGGGTTGGGAATTATCAACTGAATTATGTCTTCTCTCCACCATAACCTGCAAACCTAGTTTGTTGTCGTTGTCGTTGTTGTTAATCCAGTGTTATATTTTTTAGGAGTCGAGAGCTAAATCTTCTGAAAAACTTAGTATAAAGGCGGTAAGTAAATAGTAGAGTGTAAAGTATGTATTTCTTGTCGGACTTCAGTATTCCTTTAAATAATTACTCTCTGATGTCTGAAAATGAAATCACACACAATTGATTTCTCATACATTGATCATCTTCGCCAAGTTTTAAAAAACAATATATAGTTCGTCATTTATCTGTAAAAGCAATTTTTAACTTTTTTACTCACAAAATGAGAACAATAACAACGATACCTAAAGATTTTAGTTAACGGTATAAAACCCTCACGTGTTCTCGAACATTTTTCCCGCAGAAAAACTGTTGTGCAAAGACATGACAAGCTACAGAAGACAACAAATAGAAGATACATTGGAGCGCATTCAGTCTCACAAGGGCGTAGTGGGACTGGTTATCGTAAGCGAGGATGGTATTCCCATACGAACGACCCTTGACAACTCCACCACTCTTCAATACGTGGCTATGTGTAACACCCTATGCGGCCTCGCCCGCGGGGTCGTACGGGACACTGATCCTCAAAATGACCTGAAGATTCTTCGGGTGCGCACCAAGAAGAACGAGATAATCATGGCGCCCGAAGGCGGGAGATATTTGATCGTTATCCAAACAGGAGATCAACCACAGCAGCAAACATTTAAAGATCTTTTAGAGTAACAAGTTGCAAGTTGTCTGGCTTAATTCTGCTAGTTGGTTCAATTCTGAAGCAAACACCGGTATAGAAAGCAGAGGAAAAAATATTGTTACATCATAATTATTGTAGTCTCTTAAGTTTTTGCAAAGACCAGAGTTGGAATAGCAAGTAAAAATCAATCTTTTTTGTGTGTTAGTCAAAAGAGTTTTGAGATACTCGTACAATGCATATTGTAGTCGCCATCACCTCAAGGAATAGCAAAAGTAGCGGGAGTTTCTTGCCCTTAACATCGGTAACAACATTTTTTTACACTGCTGTTAGCTAAGAGACATGCTCTTGGACATAGTTTAGTCAAGGATAATTGCTCAGGTGACCATTTTTGGTAACGTGCGACACAAGAAAGACTTTTTGCATGATAAGGCTTGTCGAATTAGGTTGACAGAAATGTCATGAATTGATGGCTTTGATTGTTTGATATTGTGATCACTCTCCCAACCGACCACAAGTCAAGTCCAATCGAGACTTCCTCGCGTACATTTTCTCGTACTTATCCTAACTGGTTACATTTTCCTCCACCAAGAGGGAATAATACCGGGCAGAGAGGGAAACGCCCAGTTTAGCCCTTGGGATATGCGAATTCACCAAACTTATTTTTAGACCACTTAAACGCTTGAATTAATGGCAAGTTGGTTTCTGAAGAGGTCTTTAAACTTTTGTAACTTAACTGTTGTCGAGAGATAGCCACCATTACAATTTTCTACATTTTTTGCTTTGCGCCAGTCGCGCGTGGACTCAGGACGTTTCTAACAATATGTGGACTTTCCTGGAATTACATTTCCATTTAATTACAAACTCTGAAAATAACTTAAATGAAATTATTTATGATGTAGCGAGTGCGCAGCCGTAAGAAACGAGACACAGGTGACGAGACTTGGCTGATATCGCCCCATGCTCTTTCTCTTCTCTTTCAAAGTTACAAGAATTGTTAATTTGTTAAAGTTAGTTGCAACATCTACTCAAAGCGTGAGCAGTGAGTAAACGGGCAAGCTTAGCGCAAACTTCATGCCACCTTGCCATCGATTGAACCCGCTAATCAACAACTAACCAATCTTCTCCTTTTTATCACCTAAATTTGCATCATTTACTGTTTTGCTTATTCGCTCGCCATGCTTGGCTCTGAGAAAAGAAGCAGTGCCGCTCGCGGTCTACCCCACTTGCAAGAAAACTTTGATTCATCACCGTGCGTCCATTATGGTTCTTGCGCCAAAGAGTGTGAGATATACTGTGGGTGGGGAGGGACAAATCGACCCTTTCTTCTTCCATGGCAACCAGCTGACAACAGCCTCAATCACAAGTATCCAATATGGCGGACGATGTGTGACTTTTGATGTTGTGGTTTTTACACTATTTAGAGGCCTTCTGATTTCGATATTCCTTACTAAATTCAATGAATACAAAAATTAGAGGACCAGAGGATTATGAGGAACAAGGATTCAAATTACCGAAATCTCGCAATCTATTGCCATCGAAGAAATACCGCGAGAGTGTATTAAGATGGGGCGAACCAAGCGAATTGAAACGAAGACGCGTTATAATTGTCCCCTCTATAAAATGTCCAGCCAGGGATATCTCTGCGACAACGGATAGCAAAGGTAGGAGAAAATTAATACAGGATACTTGAAATTTATAGTGGAGTGAGTCAGGGACAGAAATGTTTTAATGTCGCGAGTTTTATGAAAGATTAGTAGTTAATGAGGAGAGCCAAGATTTTCCTCATTGTGTGGTGGCGTCATTTTGCAAAATCTTGGATTGTTTTGTGAGCCCACAGTGACAGGAAATTTGAAAAACAAACCACTTAACATAGCCTAAGAGCATTCATTCAAGCAGCACATTTGTTTTTTAACCGATTTAACACCAGCCGCTACGTTTGCCTGGCTTTTCATTCTGGGAGTGCACAACATAAATCAAGGTGAAGTAAAATAAGTAATATTTCTGCTCTAAAATAGTTATTTTTATCTTTTAAAGGCAAGAAACCTCAAGCTGACCCAGAATCAGATGGCTTTGCTACCAAAGTGGAAAGTTATAAGAAGCGATTAGAGGAACGCAAGAAGGTCAGAGGCATCTTAAATAACTGCGGGCTTAGACAGGACTGGCTGACAAACAAGAGTGGAAGAACTGAACTAGAAAGCCGGGTGCTTAAACGGATGCAACTGAAAGGGCGACCTGAAATCACCATCAAAGAAGTAAGTTCTAAAGCAACTGTTTGGGAAACCTCCTGAAACTTCTCACTCTCTGTTTTGGTCAATACCTTGGACTTCAGTTCAAGGCTTGGCCTAATAAGACTCAGTCTCTAGCTGTAGGGTTCTTGATTCACTGGCAATTCTCCGCACCTTGTGGCTGCTTGCCTCTTTGAGGTGGGGAGAATTCCTCAGGGTCTATAAGACACCAATTATTATGGCCCTGCGGAGGGGAGTTATCAACAAAGTTTTAATTAATACGGGTCGGAAGGCTCTGCCACAAGGTCCAACCCCTTTCCCTTTTATATACCATTTTTCATGAAAAAGGTACCCCTTTCATATACCCTCTATTTACAAATGGTACCCCTTTCCATGCTTATTATCCCTTTAAACCCAAAGATCAACATACAAATTCTCCACACTGGCATCCATACATTTCGTGAAAGACTGCTTGAGAGAATTTGTTAAAAGATCAAAGCATATTTCTTTATTTTATATCACGTAATAAGGTGATCATTTTATTAATACTCATAATCTTTTAGCCTGCGAAGCGCAGACGCATTTCCGGTCGTCGCTTCTCTCCCTCCGAAGCGACGACCGGAAATGCGTCTGCGCTTCGCAGGCTAATAATCTTTCTACTTGATTATATACTGATAATGTAAGGAGAAAATGGATTTTGGATTGCAAGAGACAAAACATGAAAAAAGGAATAGCTGCATCCTATGTAACTGTAACCATTATAATCCCCAACGTACGGGACACTGATCCTCAAAATGACCTGAAGATTCTTCGGGTGCGCACCAAGAAGAACGAGATAATCATGGCGCCCGAAGGCGGGAGATATTTGATTGTTATCCAAACAGGAGATCAACCACAGCAGCAAACATTTAAAGATCTTTTAGAGTAACAAGTTGCGAGTTGTCTGGCTTAATTCTGCTAGATGGTTTAATTCTGAAGCAAACACCGGTATAGAAAGCAGAGGAAAAAAAATATTGTTACAACATAATTATTGTAGTCTCCTAAGTTTTTGCAAAGAGCCGAGTTGGAATAGCAAATGAAAATCAACCTTTTTTGTGTGTTAGTTAAAAGAGTTTTGAGATACTCGTACAATGCATATTGTAGTCGCCATTACCTCAAGGAATAGTAAAAGTAGCGGGAGTTTCTTGCTCTTAACATCAGCAACAACATTTTTTTACACTGCTTTTAGCTAAGGGACATGCTCTGGGACATAGTTTAGTCAAGGAAGATTGATCACGTGACCATTTTTGGTAACGTGCGACACAAGAAAGACTTTTTGCATGATAAGGCATATCAAATTAGGTTGACAGAAATGTCATGAATTGATGGCTTTGATTGTTCGATATTGTGATCACTCTCCCAACCGACTAAAAGTCAAGTCCAATCGAGACTTTCTCGGGTACATTTTGCCTTAACTTGTCCTGATTGGTTACATTTTCTTCCACCAAGAGGGAATAATAGTGGGCAGAGAGGGGAACGCCCAGTTTAGCCGTTGGGATGTGTGAATTCACCAAAGTTATTTTTAGACCACTTAAACGCTTGAATTAATGGAAAGTTGGTTTCTGAAGAGGTCTGTAAATTTTTGCTCAGTGTTGTCGAGAGATAAAAATAAAATATTCTACTTTTTTTGCTTTGCGTCAGTCGCGCGTCGACTCACGACGTTTCTAACAATATGTGGACTTCCCAGGAATTACACTTCCATTTAATCACAAACTCTGAAAATAACTTAAATCAAATTATAAATGATATAGCAAGTGCACAGCCGTACGAAATGAGACACTGGTGACGAGACTTGGCTGATATCGCCCCATGCTCTTTCTCTGCTCTTTCCTAAAAAAAGTTACAAGGACTGTTAATTTATTAAAGTTAGTTGCAACAACTACACACAGTGTGAGCAGTAAGTAAAGTGGGCAAGCTTAGCGCAAACTTCGATTGAACCGGCTATTCAACAACTAACAAATCTTCTCCTTTTTATCACCTAAATTTGCATAATTTACTGTTTTACTTATTCGCTCGCCACGCTTGGCTAAGAGAAAAGAAGCACTGCCGCTCGCTGTCTACCCCACTTGCATGAAAACTTTGATTTCCCTGCAGTCAAGTAAAAATGAAACTCTAACCATTTTTTATTAAACCACGACCATTAATTATTTTGATTTTTTTAGAGCAAACAAGAATGAGTTCATCACCGTGCGTCCATTATGGCGCTTGCGCTAAAGAGTGTGAGATATACTGTGGGTGGGGAGGGACAAATCAAAGCTTTCTTCTTCCATGGCAACCAGCTAACAACAGCCTCAATCACAAGTATCCAATATGGCGGACGATGTGTGACTTTTGATGTTGTGGTTTTTACACTATTTAGAGGCCTTCTGATTTCGATATTCCTTACTAAATTCAATGAATACAAAAGTCAGAGGACCAGAGGATTATGAGGAACAAGGATTCAAATTACTGAAATCTCGCAATCTACTGCCATCGAAGAAATACCGCGAGAGTGTATTAAGATGGGGTGAACCAAGCGATTTGAAACGAAGACGCGTTATAATTGTCCCCTCTATAAAATGTCCAGCCAGGGATATCTCCGCGACAACGGATGGCAAAGGTAGGAGAAAATTAAAACAGGATACTTGAAACTTATGGTGGAGTGAGTGAGCGACAGAAATGTCGCGAGTTTTATGAACGATTAACAGTTCTACACATGTACATTGGTTGTATACGAGGAGAACCAAAGTTTTCCTTATTGTGTGGTGGCGTCATTTTGCAAAATCCTGGATTATCTCGTGAGCCTACAGTGACAGAAAATTTGAAAAACAAACCACTTATATAGCCTAAGAGCATTCATTCAAGCAGCACATTTGTTTTTTAACCGAGGTAACACCAGCTGCTACATTTGCCTGGCTTTTCATTCTAGGAGTGCACAACATAAATCAAGGTCAAGTAAAATATGTAAGATTTCCTGCGCTAAAATAGTTATTTTTATGTTTTAAAGGCAAGAAACTTCAACCTGACTCAGAATCAGATGGCTTTGCTACTAAAGTGGAAAGTTATAAGAAGCGATTAGAGGAACGCAAGAAGGTCAGAGGTATCTTAAATAACTGCGGGCTTAGACAGGACTGGCTGACAAACAAGAGTGAAAGAACTGAACTAGAAAGCCGGGTGCTTAAACGGATGCAACTGAAAGGGAGACCTGAAATCACCATCAAAGAAGTAAGTCCTAAAGCAGCTGTTTGGCAAACCTTCTGAAACTTCTTACTCCCCGTTTTGGTCAATACCTTGGACTTTAGTTCAAGGCTTGGCCTAGTAAGACACAGTCTCTTGCTGTGGGGTTCTTGATTCACTGGCAAATCTCTGCGCCTTGTGGCTGCTTGCCTCTTTGAGGTGGGGAGAATTCCTCAGGGTCTATAAGACACCAATTATGGCCCTGCGGAGGGGAGTTATCAACAAAGTTTTAATTAATACGGGTCGGAAGGCTCTGCCCTAAGGTCCAACCCCTTTCCCTTTTATATACCATTTTTCACGAAAAAGGTACCCCTTTCATATACCCTCTATTTACAAATGGTACCCCTTTCCATGCTTATTATCCCTTAAACCCAAAGATCAGCATACAAATTCTCCACACTGGCATCCATACATTTCTTGAAAGACTGCTTGAGAGAATTTGTTAAAAGATCAAAGCATATTTCTTTATTTTATATCACGTAATAAGGTGATCATTTTATTAATACTCATAATCTTTCTACTTGATTATATACTGATAATGTAAGGAGAAAATGGATGTTGGATTGCAAGAGACAAAACATGAAAAAAGGAATAGCTGCATCCTATGTAACTGTAACCATTATAATCCCCAGATAAAAAAGATTGTGGGAAATATTTAGCTTACAGTGCCACTTCTAAATACTGTTTTTAAATTGCTCTCATAAAGGCACCTACTCCTCCCCCAGCGATTGAAGAGGACACCTCTATAACTGGAGAGGATAGAGGTGTGCCAACCATCCACCACCCCTCCCCTGCTGCATTGGCTGTTATACAGGAATACTTAGAGCACAAGAGATTGCGTCTGCTGGACCTGTTTGCTCAAGCTGATAAAGACAAAAACTGGGCGGTGTCTCGGCAAGAGTTTAGGAACATCATCCGGTCATGGAAGATCCCACTGACTGAAGCTGATCTGGAGGATTTGATCATTGTCTTGGACAGAGACAACAGTGATGCTTTGGATTACAGGGAGCTGGCTGTGGGAAGACAATCTTACTTGGAGGAAAGGTCAGCAATAAATATGCATTTTTGCCTAAGCGTGAGGTCAGTATTGGCCAAGTTTTCTTCAAGTTTTTATGGACTAAGACAAAGGTCCATCTTGCCCTATTGATAGACAGTCAGAACACTGGTTTTGTTCCATCTTGCTTGCTCACCAAATTTCAATAGTGTGTCTGACTGAGCATTTGGTCAAACAACATTTCGCTTCCAGTCCATAAAAACACTAGCAGATAAAGAAAAGGGCTGATGCCATATCACTGTCAGTGATGCCTTCGTTACAAGCAATGTCCCTCTTTGTCAAGATTCCCAAAATTGAGCAAAACATGTAAGGTCTAATATTTCCACTCCTATGTGAGTGTTGTTCCTTAAACTAAGTCCAGAAGGCTTCAATTTGAAGTGACTTATGATTAAAAATTTATGAATAATACTTTCATCACTGCAGGGTTACCAAGCAGACAGCTGAGTTTGTCCAAAATCCCACAACTAAGTCAACAAAGAGACCAGAAACTATCCCAGAAGAACCAGAACCCAGCCAAGACCCTTCTCAGGAAAAGGGAACACAGAGGTCAGGGTCTCCCCAGATGCCCCCTTTGCCTCAAAGACCTCCCTCAGCCCCAAAGTCCCCCTCGCCAAGGAGGCCCTCAACGTCACCGCTGAGACCCCACTCGCCATCTTCAGGCATGATGGCGCCAGCGGCTGCAGCCTTTGTTGGCCACCGACCAGATTCTGAACCACAAATGAAAGGAGCACGCCCAGTTTCACCAACTGGTACACATAGTAGCGGTAGCATGTCCCCTACTTTGTTAGAAATTCCAGCCTTTCAGTTGTCAGAAAAGGTGGAGCAGTTAACAGAGGATGAGGTGAGGGTTCATTGACGCGATTGAACTTCTACTTTAAGAAAAACTAAAACGTGATAAGTTTTTGTAAGTCGTCACGTACAGCTCTCTCTCACAGTGAAAAAAAAAAGAAAAGATCTTAGCCTACGTAGCAGGCAGTTTTTTGGTGCGTTTTTCGTTCGTGTTTCGTAAAGTACATGTAAGAGGTCAAAAGAGGAAGCAAAGGGGCAGTGGGTGAGAGAAATAAGGCAAAGAGAATGGCTTTTTCCCCTTGCCCTTTGCTCCCTCCCCTATCGTTTTCTCGTTTGACCTCTGTTTATCTTTCGTGCGGCTTTTTCTCTTCTTTTACTAACCACAAAAGGAAAACACACCAGAAAACCCGGCAGCTACACAGGCTATACACACAATGGATAAAACAAGATTTCGTTGACTGCTCAACGTGTCTAATTTTTCAATAATAAATTTTTTGCGTAGTTGCCACTAAATTTGTAGATAAACCTGCCAGGTGGGTAAGTAAAAGCACGAGAAATCGGAGTATTAAGGAGAGAGAGTAAGAATTGGGGGAAAGAGGATGTTTATCCTACTAGTTTTCGCGTGTACTAAATTTCCCGACAATTTGAAAGCTGTGTTTCGCGATTGTTTAATTTCGAACCAAAGAGACTGAAATTCTTTTGATTCTTCAATGTTATGGTCTTAAGGCAGCTAATAAAATTCTGGAGTTTATATTTGTTTCGCTCGTAAGAATTTCACTTCTATCATGAAGAGATTACTTGATCACCGACGGAAGTTCGAAGACAAGGGGACTGAACAACGGGTTGGAAGTAGGGGTTTCGAAGTTTATTATTTTTAATTAAAACCTGTAAGTATTTTCGTGGCAGATAAAAAAGAGACGCTCGAAAAAGCAGCAAAAACGAAAAGAGAAAGAAAAAAAGCAACGGAAGAGAGTCGCACCAGAAAAAGCAACTGTGGCGCCCTCCACCATGGGGGGTAGGCTAGGGGAGATGGTAGACCGCTATCGTAGGATGACGATGAAAGAGTATAATGATGTTGTGGAAATGTGTCAAATGCACGGAGTACCAGTTAGCAAGGCTGTGTTGGGAAAAGGTAAGGCTGTGTAGGCCTGTTCATTTCTTAACCCTTTCACTGCCAAATGTGGCCAAAGGCAAATTTCGACCAAATTTCCAAATCTCATTTCCTAAAATTTTGACAAACAAATAGCATCATGTGAAAGTACAGGCAGAGAGCTTTCATTTGAATGGTCACATCATAGGCTTTCGTCCACACGCTCAAAAGTTAGAGTCGCCTTACAAAACCCTATCAAACTCTATGGCAGTGAAAGGGTTATAAGAATATGGCCGGTTTTATTGACCAAGCAGCAGTCCATTTGATGCATTGGTCAATTCTACCAGTTGCATTCCCGCCCCCGGGCATATACCCCTGGGATTTGTTACTGTTCCCCATCTCCCGGCACAGAGAAGAGGGAATCTATCTTCTTCCCAGGGACTCTCCATTACCGTCCTCAAATAGATCGTTTGTAAATATAGATCAGATCAATATAATATAGCTGGAAGCCATGTTTACACAGCGGCGAAAACATAAGCAAAAGGCTCGTGTATAGAACGTTTTCACTCACGTGGCCTGCAGCAAATTTATTGGAACAAAAGAAAGATTTTTCAAAAGGAAAAAGATTCAACTTCCACAGGACTGGTTTGGATCATCAACATGGCCGCCGTTTCATTGTTTTGGAACAAAAATATTGCGGACGTGACGTCATGTGAAAACGCTCTGTATGCAGGCGCAGTAGTGTGCCAATTACCAGTGCCTTTCGTTTGTCAACATGTTACTCGGGCCAGTGAAAGAGCCATAATTATGGCTCTTGGCCAGCGTTGACTGCTTGCAGAGAATGTCACTGGGGATACAAAGGCTGAAAGCGATACGTTTGGCGGGGTGGAACTAGCCTGCGCTGCGTAGTAGGTGCATGTAAGTAAGAAAGAACGAGGCGCGCGAGGGAGACAAGCGAGTACAGAGGGAGCTCCCTCTCGCCTCGCGTGTCTCCCTCGCACGTCCCGTTCTTTCTGGCACCCATTACTTTCAAGCGCCTGCCATGCAGGTGAGGATGGAACAGAGAACTAAACGAAGGATTTCTGACTATTTTTCTTTGTATGTTTTATTTCAGTTCTTCTTCATCCAGAAGATAAACCGCTGTCTAAGATAAAACTGACTGCGCGGAGACCTGGGCTTTTTTCAATAACAGCCAGACACCACATTCCAGCCACTAAGCTCCAGTCTTCCACGGTTGCTAGCAACCCACGGCGTCCTAAGTTTAGAGACCCGGGCCCAAGCAGCTGACAAAAGACGTACGTGAAATTCGAGTACCAAAGATAATTCCACAGCAAAGTTACCTTTGTATATAAAATTTGTAAAAATTTGTAAAATAACGTTGTACTATACAGGAAATGGAATTATATTTTGTTATCAAACTTGTTAGACCAATAAATAATGGCAAAGGTTTTAAGCATGTGTACGTTCAATGTTTCAACTTTGGTGATATTTATCAATATTTTCTCGTCCGTGTTGGCAGGACCACGCATAGAAGTGACCTCTCTACCGCGCAAACCATGAACGACGACGTCTTAGACAGTATCTTGTTTTAACCTTGGTTTATTCGTCTCAAAGTACATTTTTTTTTATCCTTGCTAGCTTTTTCTTTTCGTTTTGCTTGTATCCTCACTGAATCCTCCTCGAAAAGGCTCTTTCTCCATCCTTTTACACGTTGAGACAACCTAAAGAATCAATTTGTTTTCTTGGGTATTTTATTCATCATTTTTTTGTCTTCCTTCTCTTTTTCTTCCGTTTAACGTCTTCAACCGCTGCTCTTCCATTATCCTCACAACTTTTTTCGGCTATAAAAAACCAAGATTAAAGACATTTTGTAAGCGTTACGCGCAAAGCTTACAGTGTGACAAGAATGTTACGATCTGTGTTAAGGGTAAGAAACACGAACATAACCGTAAAAGTAAGGCGAGATATACTGGCGTGGGAAAAGCTAAGATCAAGAAGGGAAGAATTTTCGTGACGATTCTAGTTTGTACCGCGATCTCCACTTAGAAAAAGGAACAAAAAATCATGATGTT